TAGGAACACACTCATAGTAAATGTAGGCATGGCCTGTGCCACAGATTTCAGTAAAATTTCCTTCCCGGCACGTGACAGAAATTTGTTATTCCAGCTTCCAATCCTCTGTCTGACCTTATCCTTCACATACGCAAAGACTGCACGTTTATTTCTTCCTACAAAAGCCGGCAAGCCTAGATACTTTCAAAAATTCACTGCTTGCTGCACCCCAAACACCGCAGCTACTGAATTCCTTTCCACAAGCTGAGTGTTCCTACTAAAACAAATATTAGATTTATGATAGTTAATGGTCTGACCGGAAAGTTCCTCATAAGATATAAGGCACCTCTTGACCGCCCTTGCCTCCTGAATATTAGCTTTGAAGAACAGGAGGCTATCATCTGCGAAAAAAAGGTGTGAGAGCGCAGGTGCCCCCCTTGCCACCCTCAATCCGTTAACAACACCCCTATCTTGGCCCTGCTGCAATAACAACGACAACCCCTCTGCATAAATAATGAACAAATATGGGGACAAGGGATCCCCTGGCGGAGCCCACGTGAGGGGGTTATCTGACCCCAGGCACACCATTAATCATAATATTATAAGAAACAGTTGTAACACACTCCATAATCAAGTTGACCCACCTATCCTGAAAACCTAAGGCTATTTTCATTTTCCTCAGGAATGAACATTCCATTCTATCATAAGCCTTAGCCATATCCAATTTCAGGGCCCCCACCCAACTCTGCCCAACTGCTTCCTGTTCAAAAAATGTCCCACTTCAGCAACCACCAAAATATTGTCTGTTATTAGTCTGCCTGTGACGATAAAATCACTCTGCGATACAGAAATAATATCACCCAACAAAGGCTTTATACGATTAGCAATAACCTTGGCAATTATCTTATACACAAAATTACTTAAAGCAATCGGGCGCAAGTCAGTTACCATCTCAGGGGACTGTTTCTTAGGGATTAACACTACGTTTGAATCATTGAGACCAGCTGGCAAAGACCCCGAATTTAAACATTCCAGAACAAAATCAGTGACATCCGCCCCAACAATATCCCAAAACTGCTAATAAAAACCTGGGTTCATTCCATCGGGCCCCGGGGCCTTATCCCGAAACATAGCAAATAAAGCATCCCTTACTTCCCCCGGATCATAGGGCCGATCCAACCATTCGTTATGAGACTGGGTAACCCGAGAGGGGATAGAGGTAAAGAAATCCGCCCCATCACTCACAACCGGATTAGCAGTGAATATATCATTAAAATAACTCATCACAACATGTTTCATAGCATCACCATCTACCCACCTACCCAAATCATCTTTCAGGTGTAAAATAGTATTCTTACGTTTACGGGCAAAAGCATACCTGTGGAAGAAGCGTGTATTTGCATCCGCCCCCCGGAGCCAGTGCTGCTTGGCTCTCTACTTCCAAAAAACATCCTCTTGCTTCTCAAGCCTTACTATCTCAGTTGCGAGACGGTGAAACTCAGCTAAACCCTGTGGATTCATGCGCCCCGACAATTCATCTGCTGCTTCTTGAGACCAGCGATTCGTTCCCCAAACTTATGGAAACGATCACCACCCCATCGTTGGAGCTTCATACCACACCTCTGCAAGCGGACCTGCAAATCCTCTACACCACGACCCCACGCATCCTCCACCACCTCCCTAAACCCCACATCCAACAACCAGGCCATCTCAAAACGGAAGCTCCGATGACCAACCCGACTCCCCATACCTGGCCGAACATCCAGAAATAGGGCCGAATGGTCCGACCTCCTCGTCAGTATATTATAGACCCTTGCCCCCTCTACCACAACACGCCAATCCTCATTTGCCACAACCCTGTCCAGCTTCTCCTCAACCCAAGCCTCCGTTCCTCTCCCCTTCTCCCAAGTAAACTGGTAGCCAATCATTGGGATCTACATCAAACTACAATCCTCCCAGGCTTCCCCAAAACCCCTCAACAGAGGTTCTGGGTGTCTGTGCCGACCCCGTTTCTCATACTGAAACAGCAAATCGTTGAAATCCCTCAAGACCACCCAAGGCAACATAGAGCGAGGCCTTAAGTCCCTTAGCAGATTCCACGACGCCTCCCTATCACCACGATCCGTGTTGTATACATACTAGTTTTCTTTATTCAAAGAGTACATATTTGATGGGATGAAATTAAAACGAGTGCCTCAATCTCAAATTCCTATGATCCAGTACGATTTCTAGATGAATATAACTCCTAAGAAATTGAATTTTATGTTGTAAAACCAGATGTATCCTCGCTTAATCAGATATAGAGATATACAGTAAAGAAAGAAATAAGACAAAAAATATAAAGAGAATCATCAATAATCTTTTATTATTCATTCTTCAGTCTAATATATACATGATATACAAAGTTACAGTATAATTATAACTCGAGGCATTATCATAATATAATTCCTCTAGTAATATCCACATATATTTATTTACATCTCAAACCCCCCCCCCCCCCCCCCCCCCCGCCCTCTTAGCTTGGAGATTACTATATCATACATATGCCTCCTTTAAAAAAAAAAAAAAAAAAAAAAAAAAAACTAATAGGAAAAAACCTAGTTGAGAAAAAGAGTACATGATGTATGTGTCTGTAGGCCGCCTTTCTACCATGTTCAATTGTTGTTTGTAAAAAATAAAAAAAAAAAATTATGCATATTATTAAGATAATGTACAGTTTTTACTCTAATTAGAACTCGAACCAGTGACCTAGCTCTCGAACCTGTGACCAAGCTAGCTCTGATATCACTTGCCAGAATCTCATAGCAATGGCACAACTTTATTTTTCTTATATATACCACCACTACATTTTCGAGAGATAAGGTGTTGGACTTGTCCCTTCACCGACCACCGCCCAACAATTCTCCTAATCACCAATTGAAAGGCAATTACTAATTTACTATGAAGATTGATTCCATTGTTTGATAGTACCGATAATAAATTTAAGAATGAATCACAAGGATAAAATTAAATAGTCATGTCATTTCAATTAATGTTCTCAAGTTCCATGAAAAATAAAACATCACCAGCTCCCCTTGGAAAACTTTTTTCTCATATAACTAAGGAAAACGTTTTCTTGTGTAAAAAGTTTTCCATGAACCAAATAGAAGAAAATTTAATTTTACTTAAATTTAAGGAAAACTTTTTCAAGAAGCCAAGAACCTAAGGTTGAAGAATGAAGATGAATGAAAATAGCGATGAAGATGAACGAAAATAACGATGAAGATGAATGAAAATGGCAGTCTCACAATCTTGCACAACCCCAAAACGACATAGTTTTAGGACTGTACAATTTTTTGTTGTGGGGGGCATGCAGGAATATGCCCCCACTATCGTCATGCCAGATCCGCCCCTAGATATATCTATAAATTGTGCATGTATTTTTTGTTCTTATGAAATTATACATCATGTTAAAATTATTGCATTTGAAATTTTTCATGCCAAAAATGCCCTTATATAGATTAAATATTATGTTAGTTAAGTTATTAATACTAAATGTATTTACCTAATTATCCAATGGATAAACCTCATGTAATAGTATGCAAATCATATAGGAGGAAATGTAAACTGCACCTAGGAATACTTTGTGCAATGAGCTCGACTATGAGAGAATCAAAATCGTGACTTTTTTTATACTAGAATCTATCATACTCCACTTATTTAGTCACTTGTTTCGAGACATATAGTCATAATTATTTTAACATTAAACATCAATATTTGGTATGTATGATACGACAGTTGGCAAATGTGACTATGAGAATAGGAAGAAGTGGTCATGCATGATCTTGAATCTCGCAAGTTAAAATGCATGAAAAAGCCACCAGCGCGATTTGAGGATTATGTGATGCATTGAATTGTTATTTTCATTATTATTCGCTTTTCTTGCTATGCTAATGTACATTTACGTGCGTTCCTAAAAATTAGCATTTCCATTACCAGATTATAGTATTTAATCTGTATGGAGATATGATCTCAGAAAAATGAACAACATATTCCTTCTCAAGTCTTCCTTTCTCTACTCTATCCTATCTTTAATTCTTGGTGTTCACCCATGCTCAAAAAGGGCCTCTTGATTCAACTTTCGGGTTGTATCACTAGTGCTTTCATTGAGAGACACCCTTACTCACAAAAGCAATCAAAACAAAACCAACAGATTCCAAATTCAAAAATCACAGCTTCAACATGTCAGACAAAGCAGATCACTACAAAAAAATGCGAAAATAACGACGAATTTAGCGACGGACGATTTCCGTTGCTAATTTACCGACAGATTTTAATTTTTTTGTTAAATGAGCATTTAGCGACAGATTTACGATGAATATTGCGACGAACTATTTCCTTCGTTAAATACGTAGCTAGTTTTAGCGGTAAATTTTGGCGCAAAAAATTAAAGACAAATTTGCGACGAATTTACGACGGATTTTTCATGGGTTTATTCCAAAATTTTAATTGCTACAAATTAGTGACGGATATAAAAATCTGTCTCTATGTAGCAACGGATTTTCAAATCTGTAGTTATTTAGCGACGGATGAATTTTCAAATCCGTAGAAAATCCGTCGCTACATTTGTAAAGGTGGATTTTTTAAAACATTTTAACGACCGAGTTTAAATTCCGTCACTAAACTTACAAAGCGATTTTTAACAATTTAACGACGGATTCACATATCCGTCGCTAAATATGCAAGGTGATTATTATTATTTTTTCATTTTAACGATGGATTCATTGATCCGTCTCTAGTTTTTTAACTTTAACTCTAAAGTTAGAGTTAATTCCAGCAATGGTCCTCCGACTATGTTAATTTTCCACAATTGGTCCCCGACTTTTAATTTGTACAATTTAAACACTTGACTTTCGAATCTTTCCAACGTTGGTCCTTCCGTCAGTTGAGAGTTAAGTGGACGTTAGTTTAAGGGGTAAAGTAGTCAATTCACTTGTTTAGAGTATAATTCATTGTCTTTCTCCCTTTCCTTTATTCATTCTCTACCGGAAAACTGCTGCGGGGCATCCCTGTAATTCACATCCGCATCTCCAACTCACATCCGCTTCTCTTGGAGATTTGGAGACGAAGGGAGTGTAGTGAAACGGCCTTCTTATCCAGCTCATGTGGCTTTCATAGGCCTCCATCTTTGCTTCGCTCCAACTCATAACGTACTGGATTTTGTACAGATTTACAGCCCTGTGCGAGAATGGAATCGCCGACTCTGATATCTCCTCCATTCTTCCACCGTACGGGCTCATGAGGAGCAAGCCCGAGCTGTTCTCTCGCAGAAAGTCCCAAACCCCTTCCAGGCTTTCCATGGGGATTGGGTTCTTCACGTAGTCGGATTTTCCTTTGAAGTAATTTGGTTTCCCGTTGTTGACGATAGTGCCCGTGAGAGCTTTAGGGTTTGTGCCTTTCGGGAAGCCGCCGATGGTTAGGACAGCTTCTATCCAGCTCATATCTCCGAGGTCTTGTCTTGTGGCTCCTAATTCTGGGAAACTTTGTTGCAGAATTTGAAGAAGGGTGTCGGTTGGTCCGAGGTACAGGGAGGTTAACATGACTTGTACGGTGTTTTGGGGTGTTTGTCCGAGTGCGATTATTCTTATGAAGAGTTCTAGGGGTAGCTTTGGGGCGATGAACTGCTATTTGTGTATGAGGTTGGTGGCGTTTTAGTCCGGAGTTTTGACGATATTGAAAGTCGTTGCGGTTTCGGGAACATCGATCAACCAATTATACTTTCCATGAAAGAACCACCCTGAATGTATTCCCTCCCCCTTCTCGGATCGCCAGAACAAATCCTCCCCCATGGATTTCCTGTCCAAAACCTTCCCCTTTGCATCAATCAAATGCGCATCCACGACGTGATCTGCCGCGAGCCCGTGTTTTCTGAGCATCATCCCATAACCGCCGTCGCTAAAGTGCTCTCCAACACCAATGGAGTGGCACACGCTCGCCGCAAACCCAATAACTTTACTCTTCTCTGATATCCTATAGTACAGCTCCCCAATCGTCGGGCCGCATCCGACCCACGCCGTCTTTTCCGCATAATCAACGGTGACGTTATTGAAATTGATCAGATCAAGAACCAAGAACGGGTTTTGAATTTTCTGATCAACCTGCTTGGTGTACGAGAACCCTTCGTAGTCATGGCCACCGTTGCGGAGTGTCCGAGGAATTGAATCAAGTACTGTAAGTGAAGTGTAAGACGAATAAGAAGGCTGTTTCATTACTACACTCCCTTCGTCTCCAAGTCTCCAAGAGAAGCGTATGTGAATTACAGGGATGCCTCATCGCAGTTTTCATCGCCGTTGCCTCTTCGATGACATATAATTTTCCAGTGGGAGAATGAATGCAAGGAAAGGGAAAAAGACCGTGAATTATACTCTAAGTAGGTAAATTACTACTTTACCCCACAAACTAACATTCATTTAACTTTCAACTAATGGAAGGACCAATATTGGAAACATTTCAAAAGTCAAGTGTCTAAATTGTCCAAATTAAAAGTCAAGGACCAAACGTGGAAAATCAACATAGTCGGAGGACTATTGCTAGAATGGACTATTGCTAGAATTAACTCTTTAAAATTAATTTCCAAATCCTTGCTCACTCTCCCGTCTCAGCCACTCCCTACTCTGACCATCGCTTCTCCCTGTTCTATACCACCACCACCATCGCAACCCCGCCCCACCGACCGCCGACCGATGACACTCCCGAGGCGCCGACACAGTGACACAACGACCGCCACCACCGCCAAATCATGTTCGTCTTCTCGCTCCCTTAATCACTTTTTAGTTTCCGAAGGTACAAATCTATCTCTTAGCTAAGTTATACACCTTCAGGTCTTGCACAGTATTAATGTGTCTCTCTTTTAGGGCTTTTAATTTTGATAAAATGGCAGAACAAATAACTCATAAACCACGGTTTCCACAATCTGCTCGAAGAGTCCCTCCCCCCTGCGACACGGTTTCCTCTACTCCCAGGTACTGTGCACCATCATTATTCATATGCTCGATGAACAAGTTACGGATAAATTGCTATTAAATTTTTTGTTTTAAAATTGTTTGATTTTGTGTTGTGTTGTTCCGCTTGTATTTGTAGGGATAGTGGAGACAAGTGTAAATCCTTGATTAAGATGCTTCAGAGGAATCTCCACTTCTCCACTTGTAGGATGCTGTTAGCGAGTTTGTTTATGTACTCAATTTATCACCGTTCAAGGTATTTGTCAGGTTCGCACCTTTTGGCAAAGAGCATCCTGCATCTGACAATGTGACAGAAGTGTGCCATAATTTTTTAAAGTCAAAGAAACAGATCAAAATGGTATGAGCCTCTAACCACTAGCAGTATTCTATCAACTAACTAGTTAATGAATGGTTTCTTTAGGAACCTTTTTGATCTTCTATGTTCTTTGGCTATCTTTCAGCGCGTTAGTTTCGTACTCAATTTTCTTACATGAGTTATCGAAATTCTTAATTCTCATGAATCCTTCAACATTAGTTTATTCAATTTCTTACATGATTTATCGAGTTCTTGATTCTCAAGATGTATGTCTTTTTGATTTTGCAGAGTCAAAGAAGTAAAAAAACAAGGGTAGATACTAAAGTGAGTGATATCATATGAACTTGCCCTATGGCGGTAACAAAATGAGGTCCTGTTCTTCGCAGTTTTTAAAACTTCTATTTGTCTTCACTCCTTTATATGGCACACTTGTTTTTGCAGTGCTGATGAAGAAGATGAAGTAATATTGAATGTGGATTAACATTATGCTCAAGCTAAAGTTCTTAGCTTTATTTTGAATATTGGAGATTGTGTGTATGTAAAGTTGTCATTATTTTATTCTTATGTATTTTAATATTGTTATTCCCCACCCCCACCCAAAAACAAATCTTGGTTTTTTACAACACATTAGCCTTTTGTTTTGTTTTCTGGTGCTTTAATGAATGACAGTTTACTTAAACTGCAATAGTCACTTAAAGTTTTTCAAATTTTAAAAGTTTCTTTTTCATGGAAGAAGGTGAAGATGATGCTAATTCTCTGGCAGATTCTGATGATTCGGATGCAGAATATGAAATTCTACACCTGGTAGATATCTGTTTTGGAGATCCTAATGATACTGGAAAGCCTGGCATACATTTTCAGGAATACATTTTATTTATATAATTTGTTTGTGAGAGATCATTGGATAGTTGAAAATATAATCTGCATTTGAAATCCTTATGGAAAAGAAACACAAAGAGACCTTGAAGATACATGGGAGCCAATTGATGGGCTGAAGTATGTACTAGCTAGCTGTCCATTACTTTCTAAGTATTCCATTTTGTTATGTTCCTGATTTTTCCTAAAGTTTGAAATTTGAAACCACTCCATATTCAAACTAAATTCCTTGCTTCTCTTGCATCTAATGTTAAAGAACAATTCTGACTATGCTAAATCTAATAGTTCAAACAACTTGCTAAGTAATTTTGAAAATGGTAAGCATGTGGTATTGATAAAAAAGTTAAGTCTCTAAAGAAACCCAATAGCATATAAGTGGTATTGCTAATTGAAGTTGAGTAATAATAAGCATTCTCTATCCTACTTGGCTACTTTATCCTTCCATTTTAAAGGTGAACAATAAAGTTCACCCAGTAGCCAATTAGGTTGACTATGCATTATGATAGGGAATGTTGAGCTGTGAACAAATAAATTGTCTATACAATATGATGCTTCATGGTTGTAATTGATGAGAATACTAAGATGGATGTTTGGTAATGAGTAAACATCATATGAAAAATGACTTGATTTGAAGTGAGGCACAAACTCCTTTAACGACTGCTTGAGAGAAAAAAAATCAATTAAGGTTGTTTGGAAATGCTTTTGCAGTTCTATATGTGCACTGGTTAGAAGTTGGAAGAATCGTCAAGGATGGTTTACCATCTCAGTGTTCACAGATATCATGCTTTGGTGATTGGAATCAACTGTGGCATACTGTAGTAATTGGTAATGCTGATTTGAGATATGGAAGGATGATGGAAAGAAGTTTGGAAGAAGAAGAGTTTTCTCAGATTTACAAAAGGCCTTGGAAGCGTGTGGTTTATTTAAGCAAAAATCAGCATTCAGATCAAAACGGTAGTGTACATTCTAGTAGTAAGTACAGGCTAATTGGGGGGTCTCTTCTATTATTATTGTGAAGAATATACTGTATAGTTTATTGTGAAAAATATATTGTATAGTTTATTGTGTTGGGTTTTGCAAAATTTGTATAGGATTTTAAATTAAAAAAAAATAGGGGGTCTTTGGTACCGTTTCTAATAATGTAATACTTTACAATGCTATATTTTTATTATTGTTATTGAAATTGAATTTCTTAATATAATATATTTTGCAATTATATTATTGAAGTATTATATTATAGGTTTAATATAGGGATGTGATATTAATTAATTGCTAGATTATTTAAAAAAAGAACTATAAAAATTTAGGAGTTAATACCCAAAATCGTCCTCGACTATAGTGGTTTTTCTCAATTTCGTCCTAAACGACTTTGGTGACCTAATATCGTCCCAGACTTTTGAGTTTCGCTCAATTTCGTCCTCCATTTGTTATTCTGTCAAACTGGTGTTAAATAAAGGGACAATTCAGTAATGTCAATATTGATCTCTCTTTACTTTCAACTTGTGAAGTGCGAAATTCCTCTTTCTTGTACGAATTACACCCAGAATTACTCCCGGACCTGCAAATCAAATTTATATTCGCAGTTTTAGGAGTAATTTTGGGAGTAATTCGTAAAAAAAAAAAAAGGATTTCGTAGTTCACATGTCTATGAGTAAAGAGATGCCAATATTAAAATTACTTAATTGTCTATTTATTTAACACCAAATGGACAGAATAACAAATGATGGACTAAATTGAGCAAAAGCACAAAAGTCTGGGACTAAATTGCGCGTAACACAAAAGTCTGGGACGATATTAGGTCACCAAAGTCGTTTAGGACGAAATTGAGAAAAACCACTATAGTCGAGGATGATTTTGGGTATTAACTTTAGCGACTGGACAAAAATCGTAGTAAATTTGTAGCTAAATATTTAAGCTATAGTTAAATGGTACCTACAGAAACAAAATAGCGACGGAATGTCCGTAGCTATATATAGCGACGAAATTTTCCGTCGCTATTCCCTTACAAATTTTGTCATTCAAATCGTCGCGGAGATGAAATTAGCGACGGATATTTTTAAGTTTAGTGACGGAAAATCCGTCGCTAAATTTAGCAACGAAAAAAATTGGGTCGCAAAATTCTAGCGACGCCACTTTTAGTGACAGACCCGTTCCGTCGCTAATTGCGATAGTGACGGATTTTTCCCTTTCTAGCGACGGAATTTTCCGTCGCTATTTTCGTATTTTTTGAGGCAGGGGGAAGTGATACGACAGTTGGCAAAGTTGACTATGAGAATATGGAAGAAGTGGTCATGCATGATGTTAAAGGATTATGTGATGCATTGAATTGTTATTTTCATTATTATTCGCTTTTCTTGCTATGCTAACGTACATTTACGTGCGTTCCTAGGAATTAGCATTTCTATTACCAGACTGCAGTATTTAATCTGTATGAGATATGATCTCAGAAAAATGAACAACATATTCCTTCTCAAGTCTTCCTTTCTCTACTCTATCGCCTATCTTTAATTCTTGGTGTTCACCCTGGCTCGAAAAGGGCCTCTTGATTCAACTTTCGGGTTATATCACTAGTACTTTCATTGAGAGACGCCCTTACCCACAAAAGCAATCAAAACAAAACCAACAGATTCCTAATTCAAAAATCACAGCTTCAACATGTTAGACAAAGCAGACACCCGGGTAGATTTCCGGACTCTACCGAAAATGTTTAAAAACCTCCAAACCCAGTTCAGTGAGCAAATGACCACGTAAGAAGCCAGGTTGCAATGGAAAATAGGAGAGAAAATTAATTCCTTGGCTGCCACCATGGAGGCACGACTACAACTGGTAGCTGGAGCTGGGTCCCCTCCTGCCCTGTGACAACCCAAAATTTAATTTTATAAATCCGGTTTTAAGAAAATCTAAATTAGCCAATTATCACTCCATAAAATTTTATGCGATGAAATCGGTGTTGAATAAATTATTTTGAACTATTTTTAAATAAATTCAAAACCAAGACTTGATTTTAAAAACCAACATCCTAAATTTTCGGGTACTTCGTGTACCAAGTTTTGAACTGAGCCTATCTGAGTGAAACCGGGAGAATTTTGAGAAACCTAAATCAAGTGTTTATCTAGAAATCATTTTGGGAAAATTCCTTTTTCAACCCCAAACTATTTTAAATAGCAAATCTAGCATTTGGTTCATGGAGCATGGTGGACCACAAGCTATCCAAACTTTGTCTGGTAACATTTCTAGCCAAGCTTTAACCCTTTTTTCCCTCCACCAATCATGAGGAATCATCCTAGGGTTTAGAGCCACTATATAAGGAGTAGTTATCTTTGCCTCTTTGATTTCACACTTGGCTTCCCAACCTTTAGCTGCAAAACAAGAAGAAAACACAGTAAGATTTCTAACTTCTCTTCTCATCCATTGATTTTCCTCCTAAGCCTTCATCTTTTCTCTGAGAACTTGGTAGTGAATTGTTGTGTGGTTGTTTGCGATGTTTAGGAGGTGAAGAAGGGGGAATCTAGCTTGGGAAGAAGGTGGAATCCAAGCAAGGAGAAGAAAGCTTCAAAGGTATAACCCATGGACTCCCAAAGCTATTTCTAGACTCTCTGAAGTCTATTTTTTAGTAGAAATGCTAGTTTATTGAAGTTTTTGAGCTATTAAGTGATCTAATGTTGAGTTATGATGTGTTGTTGATGTTTTGGAAGTGTTGGAATGTCTGGAAAATTTCTTGCAGGTGAAAGGAGTCCACTGGTGCATCAGACAGTATGCACCAGTAAAAATCACGGGCCTAGTCAACGTCCCTCGAGGGAGGCCATTGGCCAGCCTCGTGGTTAACCGGCTCTAGGGGGCGGCCCTAGGAGAGGGCCGTTGCCTTGAGCTGTGAAATTGACGGGCCAAGAGGCGGGAATCGTCAATTCCCGCCAAGAGCCCCGTTGAGTAGAACCTGTGTAGTGGCCGGGCCCTTGTGGCTTGAAACCTCAGGGCCGTCTTGACACACGCTTTGGCTTTGATTTCGTTGAATTTGGTGAAGAATTGAGCTCTCAGTGTTAATTTTTGTGAAGGAAATTCCTATAGAGGTTGTTCCAGTGAATGAGAAATGAGAAGCATTAGTTTTTGTTCATCTATCTGAAAAACATGTTATTATTTGTTTGTTAAATAGAGAAGCATGAACATTATTTGTTAAAGTCTTGCTAGAAAAGCATGCCTAAAGTGTATATTATGACTTATAGAGATTTTAGCCAAGTTCCTAAATGTTAAAGTTTACAGAACATGAATTCCCTGAATACTATTGCACAGTGAATGAGCATAAATTGAGTACTTTGAGTTCTAATTTCATGTTAAATACTTGCTAAGTGATTATTGAGAAGATTTGTCAAGTTATGATTAACAAGCATGCTTTGTTGAATTATTGAGATTTCACTATGAATAGAAATGGAAGCATGTTTTATAGTGAGTTGCATTTTGAGCATATCATGTTTTAAAAGTGCATAAGTGGTCAACGTGAGCGTAAGTATTATTTTCGAAAAAAACTCATATCCAATTTGGAAAGTCATTATCTTGTCATTTTGAGAATGTGTTGAGAAGTTATGTGCACATTTGAATAAGATAAATGTTTCATGATTCGAGTTACATGAGTGATATCTATATGTATCGATTGTGAGGAAATCTTGTTTTGGAGGACCCGTTTGGACTATGTCCTTTCGGAGTAAGAGAGAAAGAAACGGACATTGCGATCCAATATCATGTAACGCGGCGTATTTCCACGTTACGAGGTTGGAAACTGCCTGCCAGACTTGGAATCCTGGTCAGGGGGTGTGCACACTGATAGTTCGATACCAGATTCCACAGAGTTTGAGTTTTGGAACCACGAGATTGGTTCTATGGGCGGGATGAGAGATTGGCTGGCTAGATGCCGAACCCAATAAGTTCATTCACATTATGGTGAAATCCTGCCTCGCCCACGAGTAACGAGAAAGCGAGTCATTGCGAATCTAAGAAAGTGAGTCATTGCGACTCTAAGAAAGCGAGTCATCACAACTCAAAGAAAGCGAGTCACTTTTGGCTCTAAGAAACCTTCATAGAAAAGTATTCTTTTTATAAAAGAGTGTATGTATATCTATACTTATACTATAGCATCATCTTATGAGTTATATGTCTTGCACGAGAATGCATGATTAGTAGCACGAGATTGCTTATGAGTTATATGCCTTGCAAGAGATTGCATGATTAGTAGTTGATAGCACGAGATTGCTTATGAGTTATATGCCTTGCACGAGATTGCATGATTTGAAGTTGATAGCATGAGATTGCTTATGAGTATATGCCCTGCACGAGATTGCATGATTAGTAGTAGATAGCATGAGATTGCCTATGAGTTATATATCTTGCACGAGATTGCATGATTAGTATTTAATAGCATGAGTTTGCTTTATGAGTTATTTAATAGCATGAGATTGCTTATGAGATATTTGATAGCATGAGATTGCTTATTGGATTATATGAGAAAGCATGAGATTGTTGAGTACTTGAGAAAACTTTAGATTTGATTGCAAGTTTTGAGGCTGTGATGTGGTGTTTGTTATATAAGCATGCCTATCCGTTATTAGGTTACAAGCATCTAGAAGTTATTGCCAAGTATGATTAAGTTGTTTGATTTAAGAATGTGAAACAAATGCTTTCCAAAAGTATATACTGTATTTACTTTACAGGGTTGAGTGACGTTATACTTAGCTTCGTGCTAACGTGTTGTTTTCTACTTGTTGTGTGTTAACCCCTTTCAGGTCGGCCGAGCTCGTAAGAAAGAGAGTACGAGTTAGACGAGTTTAGCTTAGATAGCTTTGCAGTCTAAACTCTTATGTTATTTTGGATTTGTAGTTGTCTACCTTCTTTTGTTGGTGTTGAACACCGGGGCTTGGTTCCCCAAGTTTGGTTGTAGTTCTTTTAGCTTGACTCTTTCAGATTCCTTTTATAGTCTGTGCAGTCACCATGGGCGGTGACACCTCTTTATGTTTATTTAGTTGTTTTAATCTGCTGCTTTAGTTTATCTTTAAAGGTTTAGTTTGATAATTAAGTTTAAGAAAAGTGAGGTGTTACATGCCCAGCCAGCCGTTAATCATGGACGACTTCCTGACGAAGCTAATCAAGCAACACGGGTGGTAAGGAATGAGATTGTTGCAACCGAGCCTTCAACTCCTCATCTACACACTATGAAGTTAGATGTTCCAAAGTTTAAAGGAGAAGACCCACACCAGTGGATATTTAATATCCAAGAGTACTTGGACTTCCACAAAGTTCCAGAGGACCAAAGCCTGCAAATAGCTGGGTTCAGTCTAGAACGAGAAGCATCCGAGTGGTATCGCTAGACACGAAAGAACAACTTAATATTTGGTTGGCATGACTTCTTGGAGAAAGTTCAACACCGATACCGATTTGGAATACACCATTTTTAGGATTATCAAGCTGACCTGGCCAAGTTGACTCAAAAGGGGTCAGTAGCATAATTCCAAACTAAGTTTGAAAAACTCATGAATAAGGTGACTGGAATCCAAGAACCTTTATTAGTTTCTTTATTCACTGGTGGGTTGAAACCGAACTTGCGGGATGAGATGTTAATTGCTAAGCCCCAATCACTCTTGGATGCCTTCGAGTTGGCCAAAGCATTTGAAGTGAGACATGAGGAGATCGTACGTGATAATTGGGCGGGTAACGATGGCCACACATTATCGCATGAGGTATCCATAAGTCAATTCTCTTCATCTAAAGGGCTTCTACCAACCCCTTCTCTAGCTAACAATGGTGTTGCAGCCTCTTCGGTTCCGATACGACGAATGAGTGCAACCGAGGTCCAGGTTCGGAGAGAAAAGGGTCTTTGCTTTTATTGCGATAAAAAATATTCTCTAGGCCCTAAGTGTAAGAGAAGCTAGGGGCCGTTTACTAACGGGAAATTTCTCAAAATTTCTGAAAACTGAAAAATAGAAAACAGAAAACATATTTATTAACACAGTTTTCCATTTTGAAAACTGAAAATAATTTCTGGAAATTTCTGGGAAACTGGAACACACTTAAAACCTATTTTCGAAATGGAAAACACAATCATCTATCATCTATTTAGTTATGGATTAATATTTGATACACCGCCAGTGTATAGATGCTATACACTGGCGGTGAATGAGGAGATGACACATCATTAAAGAATAAAATCAATGTTAATTGGGTCCTTTTTTGCAAAATATCTAAGACTTGTATTTTTTTAGGAAACTCTTTTATTTATAATTAACAAAATATATCTACTTTCCAAAAACATATTTGTTACTTAATTATTATATATTTAATTATCTAATTAGAAATAATGAAAACCATTCTTTTATTTTTAATTATCACGTATCACAAATATTAATCCTGTACGTATCACTTATAATAATAATAATAATAAAATAATAATAATAATAATAATAATAATAATAATAATAATAATAATAATAATAATAATAAATTTCTTAATATCATTCCTGTAAAAAAATTCAACATACATTCATTATCTAATTATTTCTTCTTTTGTTTTAAGAAATTATTTCTAAATTATTATATTTATAACTAAATTACAGCCTTAGTCACAATTAGAAACAATTGTCACATCTTGTAAGAATATATATATATATATATATATATATATATATATATATATATATATATATTCAATAATGTATAAAATCAACACTTAATAAAATATTATGTAATAGTCAAATTATATCTTAAAACTTATTAAAAAGTTATAATGTAATACACTCCATACAACAATATCCAATAATGTAAAAAATTAAATTTGCAAACTATGACGATGAAACATAAAACGAGCCACATTTCTTATGTCTTCATTATTCTCATCAAAATCAGTTCTTTTCATTTGTCCCAATTGGCGATTGTTGTCCATCTGTAATTAAATTCTACAATAAGAGATTAAAGAGAATTATTATTATGAACATTAAATAATATTTAAAAATAAAAAATTTAAATGGAACTATAAAATAAGTTCATACTACATACCATATTTTTATTTTTCAGTGTACAAGTACTCTTGGTATGTCCTTTCTTTTTGCAAGTTGAACATGTAACTCCATTACTTTTAAGCTCTAAAACTCCTTTCATTCTGATAGACCGAGGACGACCTTTAGTAGTCACACGAGGAGGATTGCGCATTGCTACATTATTATCATCATCATCTTGATGACTTATCATGCTTGTCAAACAACCAGTGCTACTAGTTATACCATCATCAATCTTCAATGCATCTAACTTTTTGAATAAACATTGCAAGCCTTCTATTGTGGTGTCATAATGCTTTTTTTAACGTGAAGCTTTTTCAGAAAGTTGTAATGAGTGAACCATGATATTATTAAACAATGTTGTTGAACACATATTGACATCAGTCATCTCTTCTTTATTTGATGTCCTTGTAATTTCTCCCTTTTTAGCATCTGTTGTCCATCTTTTTAAAATGTAGAGCTTCGGTAAAGAGTACACATTTTTCTTGATAAGAACCATCAACTGGTGTCTACAAAGGATGCCCAAAAATTCAAACATGTGACATGAGCACTCTATGGTTGTTGACGAACTCATGAATGTCACTATGTACTCTGATTTTTCTTTGTCAAACTCATGCACCCTATATACAGACTCATGCTCAATAGTAATAATTTTTTCTGCAACAAATTGCTGAGAATGAATCAATTCGTCTTGAAACATTCTGAACATCTTTCTTGTATAAACCTTTGAAGCTTCTTCCTCCATTGGGTACAATGTCTTTAAGATAGGTTTTGAATTCAATGTTTTGAAGGTTTTCTCCCTTTCTTTATTGTACCTTGCGTCAAGAGCCTTGTCATATTGAACAACAAACTTACTTATTGGTGTATTAGCATTTATATAATCTTTAAAGTACTTATTCATACTTTCACTTCTTTGAGTAGTAGACATTCCAGCACAAAAACTAGTACGTACATAAGCAGGAATCCATTTTTCACGAATGGAATACAACTTCTCAAGCCAACTATTTCCTCGTAAACCATACTTGTCAAGAATTTTTTTCCATTCTACTTCAAAGTCATTCGGGATATATATCCTATGGATACAATGTGAAAATTGAAACTTAAAATCATCAAACTTATGATAAACATGGCTAAGATTTTCAGGAAATTTTTTCTCAATATGCCACATGCAAAAATGATGTGCAGTATTTGGCAAGACCTTTGCAATTGCAGTAGTTATAGCTGTATCTTGATCTGTAATTATTGTTTTTGGATGGCATCCATCCATTGCTCCTAACCAAGTATTCAATAGCCAAACAAATGTTTCCACTGTCTCATCCCATAATAGAGCACAACCAAATAAAATGGACTGGTGATGGTGATTGACTCCAGTGAAGGGAACAAATGGCATTTTATACCTATTTGTCAAATAAGTTGGGTCAAAAGTCACAATATCTCCAAAAAATTTATAAGCCACTCTAGACCTTGAATCTACCCAAAAACAATTCGCTAGTTGACCTTCTGTGTCCATTTGTATTGCATAAAAAAAATCCTGGATTTTTAGATTGACACTCCTTAAAATAATACAACATTGCTTGTGCATCTCCTTTCTCAAGTTGCTTTTGCCTTTTGTTACTTAAATAATTTTGAATATCTCGCTCTGTACAACCGACCCTATCTATTCCTCCAGATTCAGTAACCAAAACTGACATTATTTTACTAGGACGAATTCCAGATTCATCAAGCACGTCAATCAAATTCCTTTGAGATTTTGTCCTCTTTCTATGAACTCGATGAAATCGAGCACTACTAGGAGAAGCAAGCACATGATTATGATCTCTAGTAAATTTAGATATTATCCATTTGTCTTCGTCTTTTCTAGATACATAAATCATGGCTTTGCATCCCATGCGTGTTTCATCAGATGGAGGTTTTTTCCTATTGTCTCGCTCTAAATATTTTTTTGCACGGTAACCTTCTTTTGAACAAACAAACTCTTGTCCAATAACCATTTGATTCTTTCTAGACTTTTGTATGCGGTTTTTGCGAATTCCAAAACCTTCATGTTTTGCATAATTAGTATAACACATTAAAGCATCATCTAGTGACTGAAACTCCATTCCAATACATAACTCTATTGTCTCATTATTCACATCACTCTTCGCATTTGCACTGGCATTTTGTTCAATCTCAACTATATTAAATTCACCACTATTCACTAATTCATCATGATTGTTTTCACTCAATTCTGTAGTAATTTCACAACCATGATCTTCTTCAATTTCGACTATATTATGGTCTTTATTATCATGGAAAGTAGCCATCATTAATCTATAAAGAAATATATAAAGGGATTAGAACACAAGTAAACCCATGAATAGGAGCATATTTCAGTTTAAAGACTATTGTCACCAAGTACCAAAATAGTAAAAAGAGAAAACATATGAGAAATGAAAAATATAGTCATTACAATGTTCATCATTGTTAGCCACTAACAAAATTATACATATTATGCTCTTAAAATTGAAGACCCAAAACGCATAAATCAAGTTACAAACTCCATCTTTTCATTTTATATCAAAACTATAGTTTTTTAGAGTTTACAAATTAAAATAAAATAATAATAATAATAATAATAATAATAATAATAATAATAATAATAATAATAATAATAATAATAATAATAATAATAATAATAATAACTTACAAGAGGCATTACAAAAAAAAAAAAAAAAAAAAAAAAAAAAAAAAAAAAAAAAAAAAAAAACTTACAAGAGAATTTCAACAATAGAAAATAGATACAAAAAACAACTTACCTGTAGAGAACTCTTTACTAATAGAATACTGATAAAGATTCAGACAAAGAGAAACTATTGACAGGTTGGGTTCTTTTGACAGAGAAAATTGAATTTTGATGAATATATTTTCTTACAAGATGTTGCAATTGTTTCTAATAGTGACTAAGGTTGTAATTTAAATTTAGGAGTTTAGAGGTTTAAATAGATTTAGGAGTTAAAGATACATATAGAAAATTAGATGATTTTGTTAATTAAAATTAAAGTATTCTTAGTTATAAATATAATAATTTAGAAATAATTTCTTAAAACAAAAAAAGAAATAATTAGATAATGAATGTATGTTGAATTTTTTTTACAGGAATGCTATTTAGAAATTTATTATTATTATTATTATTATTATTATTATTATTATTATTATTATTATTATTATTATTATTATTATTATTATTATAATAAGTGATACGTACATGATTAATATTTGTGATACGTGATAATTAAAAATAAAAGAATGGTTTTCATTATTTCTAATTAGATAATTAAATATATAATAATTAAGTAACAAATATGTTTTGGAAAGTAGATATATTTTGTTAATTATAAATAAAAGAGTTTCCTAAAAGAATACAAGTCTTAGATATTTTGCAAAAAAGGACCCAATTAACATTGATTTTATTCTTTAATGATGTGTCATCTCCTCATTCACCGCCAGTGTATAGCATCTATACACTGGCGGTGTATCAAATATTAATCCTTTAGTTATATGTCACTATAACCACATTACTATGATTACATTCATTATTATCTTATTTTACTTATCACTATCTTCTATCTTTTCTACTTTACTTATTTAAACATAATTTATTTGCTTACACTTTAAAGTTAGACATTATTAACATTATCAAAATTAAGAATTAAACTCTATATAATGTTTTAGATTTTGATTGAACTCAATAGATTATTAGTTCGAATATTTTTAATTATGTTACATCATAATACAAGTTCGGTCCAGATATTGGATATTGAAATCTCACATATATTAGAATTCAAAGTAAAAGTTATATATTCATATACAATGTCATTCAAATGAATATATCCAAACAAAACATTTTAAATATTAGTTCAAAAAATATTAATATATATTATCTAAACTAAATTTTAGGTGAAAACTAAAAAATCAGAAAACAGAGAACAACTTTCTGTTAGTAAACAAGTTTTCTAAACAGAAAACACGGAATGGAGAGAACGAAAACTGAAAAATAAGAAAATAGAAAACAGAGAACAATTTTCTGTTAGTAAACGGACCCATATACATTTACTGATTGGGGCAGATGATGGCCGGTGAGGACGGAAATGATCCAGGGGAGTCTAACATCACTCTTGGGGAATCGCTTGTAGATGAGGATATTACAACTGATATCTCGACATTGAACACATTGGCTGGCCAAGGTAACCCACGTTCTTTGCAGCTATGGGGAGATATCAGCAGATAAAAATGCTGGGTGTTGATTGATAGTGGAAAACCGTTTTGAAGCCGGAAGATATATACTTAGGGGACTCTAGCTTTAAAAACCGAGAATAGACTCAACAGGTAGGGACAAGAACATTCAGCAGTTATAATCATGCATATAAAGATACTAGCATATACCCTAAGGTCACAAGATTATTTCACATCATTCATATCATCATTCAATCATTATCTCAATCACATAAACACACTTTGGTGGTGCCACAGGACCCTTCACGCGCTCATACACGAAGCGCCATTGCATATAGCTCTGGCATGGCCCCGAAGCACCCTGCCTGTACTGTAGCACAAGGGGTCGATCGCAACCGACCGATGAACCGCAACTCATCATAATGTTTGATCGCAACCAAACAGTGGACCGCAGCCCAAAAGTGTATTTTTGATTGCAACCAGATTATGAACCACAGCTCATGTAAAACGTTTGATCGCAACCAAACGGTGGACCGCAGCACTATATAATATTTATATACCTGACTGATCGCAACCGGCCTGGTTAACAGTTGGTATGGTTCTCAACCCATCCAACTGCCCGTATAGCCAATTTGATCGCAACCAAATTGGGGTATCATGCACACGTAACACATAGCAAGCACATGCAACTCACATTAGCACATTGGGAAGGGGGGGAAAATGCATAAATTAACTTATGCGTGGTCATCCACATACTAGGAATATTCGTAAGGGGTTCATACATCTTCCACCTAGGCCAACGGGATACCAATTCAACTAGCATGTAATACATAATCTCTTTTATCCTACGAATGGTACCCGGAACATCAAACTAGACTCAGGCACGATAAACCGAGTCCGTTGGGACACCACGAGGGTCGGGGAAACATCAAACGGGGAAAACCACCATTCCGCATTGGGAGAAACCAGCGAGTGATCGGGGCGGGTGGAGGACCACCCGCCGGCGGCAAGAATGTTGGGCAGCGGGTGCCCGGCGGGCAGTCGCCACTGACTCTTTTTCAATACTTGGGTCCAGGGATCTTTTGTGGAACCCGAAACTATGTTTAGACACTTTTAAACGCAAACGACAACACCACGTAGTCAAATAATGGATCAAAATCAAGAATCACATTGAACATATCCTAACATGACTTCTAAACGTAATCAACACCCGAACATGTGAATTCCCACCCAAATATACAAAGAATATCACAATACGAAATTCACGATTCAACCTAAGGCTCTAATCATATTTAAATCACAAAATCATACTTTATCTTTAAAATCAAGAACATCAAGATTTATCAAGAATCAACACACAATTATCAAGATCCTCTTATAATCATCAAGATTATCAAGATCAACACATAAGATCATCTCATCAACATCAAGATCATATCATAATCATCAGATGGGATAATGAGCAATTATCATATCAACATCAAGATCATATCATAAAGTCTAATGAGCAATTATTAGTTTGGTTCGGTCGATTTTAGAACATTAACATTCTCTAGTTCTTTAGCGCAATTAATTAATTAATTAATTATTTTTTAATAATTTAACATTTAAAATCCAATCAACACGAAAACGATGCATATCTCAGATTTCTCAATCAATAATGAGTCCGAACAACAACACAACACTACATATTTAAAAATCCAATGTCCAAACATAACACAAAACTTAATTCAAATTACATGATACCGATCTAAGTGTATAATAGAAATATAAAATCGAGATTTAGAAAATTGAGAATTTAGTAATTAGTAATTAGTATATATACTCGGGTAATTTTCCAAATATAAAAACATTTAGTTATAGTTAGATACATAGATATGAATAAAAGAAATGTCATAGTTTTTATGCTTACAATAGACTTTATAATAATTATAGAGATGTTATTAAAGATGATTGGCTTTGGCTTGTGGCAACAATTGAGTCAGGCACAAGAGATGTTTACTGTAGTGTAATGAAATCGGTTTGTTTCTCATGAACGTAATCATCGTGGCTATGTTTTAACTTTTAATCAGAGTTTGAAGACGCAATAATGACCATTCGAAGCAATATGTGGAACATAATAACTTATGGTTAAAAAAAAGCTAAAAGTTCGTTTATTAAGAATGTAAAGTTTCTATGTGACGCGGGGATAGCTCAGTTGGGAGAGTGTCAGACTGAAGATCTGAAAGTCACGTGTTCGATCCACGTTCATCGCAACTTAGTTTGTATGGTTTCAAAATGTAAACCATAAAATTATAAGTTAATGATTTGCAATAGATGATTTTCAACAGATGATCCGTGGAAGTGTTCCGTTGTTGTCCAGCGGTTAGGATATCTAGCTCTCACCCAGGAGACCCGGGTTCAATTCCCGGCAACGGAAGATCATATATCTATCAATTTAGAGAAGATTTGTAATGCAAAGTATGGTTTAATGCATTTCTTTAGACGTCTCGGGTTTGCTTCCCAAGTCATGTTGCCAATATAATAAACCAAACATTGCTTAAATACATTTTCCTTTATTTCATTCTTTATAAATAAAATCAAACTATAAGTGTAATATCGTTAAAAATATGTCATAGAGATATTTTAAATTCACTCATATTGATATATTTTTTCAACATATTCTTACAATAAACGTGTGATATAGTAATATTATAGATGACCTATGATGACTTACTGTACCAACAATAGTGGGTTAATGAGTATGCGTTAGTAATTTAATGAACTTGTAATAATGTTTCGGACGAGCATATATGACTTAATGAACTTGTAGTGGTGACTTTTTTCTTTTTTTTTTTTTTTCAAAGGACTTGCTGTAGTGACTTAATCAACTTGCAATTGTAATTTAACGAACATGCAATAATGTCTAGATAAACTTGTAAATTTACTTAATGGAATTGTAATAATAGTAACTTAAAGAACCTACAATTAGGGGTGGGAATTTCGATTGACAGTTCGGGTCCTTTTTTTCCTCGGTTTGATTTATATTTTTTCAGTTTTGAAAAGACGAAACCATTCTATTTAACATTGTAGTTTAGTTTGGTTCGGTCGA